GGCTTGCGCCAGCAAGGGAAGGTCGGTAGAATAAGCTCTATATTCGGTCCTAACTAAGCATTATTGATCAATCGATACCTTGTTTGAAGCCTTGCAAGGGACTGGACAAGGGAGCCAAAAATAAGTTCTCACGGGAATTACCATTGTGAGCGCAGCTTCAAATTGCTGTGATACTAAAATTTTGAGCTAAAAAGAAGGACATCAATAAATGCAGCGAACCGCCGAGTGTATTTATTTTAGGAGTTCGATGTTGAAACATCGATGCTTTGAGATAGCAATGCAACGAATATCGATTAGTGTTGAGAAGAATCGAGTACTTTTGTAGATTGAGTTCTTTGATATCGATACTTTTGAAGATCGGGTATTTTTGAGAGTACTGAGTACTTTCTTTAAATATACACATGTCGGTAACAATGCAATGGTTAGTGCAGAAATCTTACAAGCTAGCAGCACTTTATTGAAGTTATATATTTATCCCAAATTATGTCAAATGAATGGCTAAATGTACTAGATACAAGTATTGTGCTAGAAAATTATTGAAACTTGAAATTGAATACAATCATTTCGGAATACCGTTAAATGTAAATAGAACTCAGTAGTTGGAAGTATCTTTTCGACACTTAATACTGAGTACTTTGAATCGATCCTGAGTACAAGTATCAAGCTGATGTTTGGAACAGAGTATTTTTAAGTATTGATTACTTTCGGGTTCCTTCAAATTCTGATTACTTTCAAGTCCTTTTGTGAGTACTGAGGACTTTGAAGTACTCAGTATCTATATTTTTTTCAAATCGGGTACTGCCGATCCTTTTGATAATCGATTTCTGAGTACTTTTGGTATCGATACTGCCCAGCACTAATATCGATGTTCTTTTTGCATTCCTATTTATAAATTTTTGCGTTCTTTCTTAGCTTTGCGAGCTTAATTTTACGAGCGCTGCCTGGACTTTCTTTAATAAAATTGCATCTACAGAAGCGGAATTCAAAATTTGTGGCAAACACTTAAAGACTTCGGGCAATACAACTAATTTGCGCGGCCATTTGCAAGAATTACACTAGGGTGGCCAGATGCGCTGATTTAATCAGTACATGTGCTGATTTTTTTCTATTGTACTGATTTTTAAGAGCCCGAAATCAGTACGCAAAATCTACTGATTTTTTGAGTTTGTACTAATTTTTACATTTAATACTTTTGTAAATTGGTGTAATTGACATTTACTTGAGGTTTACATGTTCAAAACAATGGTTTTTGACAACTCATACGTGTGAGCAGATTGAAAGCATTAATTAAATTTAAACCATTATTAAAAAGGTGTCAGCTTGCAATTGTTTCGTTTCCTAGGATTTCGCAAAATAACAAACTGTTTGGATTCAACCCAACCCAACTTCACGATTTGCAGGTTTTACAGGATTTACAGGAAAAGCTGGTTTCGCCATTAATAAATCTTATGAAAGGTGGTGGTGAGTTAATCATATATTAAGTACACTGAGAAGATGACAATAAGAGATAATCTTTCGATTATAATTAAACATCCACTGAGAAATCGGCTGTCAGTATTTCAAACTTAAGACGACTACTGCTACGGTGCAATGTAAGTTCTAAAAATTTGGAAAAGGTGCAAACTACCGACTCTTGGATATGATATATGTAGCTTTACTTTGATTTTTGATGTTCGACCACCTGTAATTTTACTGGCACATACACATTTAACACTATTAAATTTCATTCGTACTCGAAAATTCGTTTAGCGATAATTCGGTAATATACCTTTTAGTCAACATTTTAATGTGAATGTTGTATTTAATAAGCACACCAACTAAATATGTTTTAAATTTGTAGCTTAAAATATGCAAACAGATTCTGACTCGAGCTCGTCTTCTACTGAAACTGAATGGGCTACAAATTTTTTTTTATTTTCTCAATTCTTATAAATTTTCTAGAAAGTTTGAGACTTCAACTCACATTTTTTATAAAAAAATTAAATTAAGTAAGGAAAGAAAAAATTTTCAAAACCTGTCAATACATTTTATTACTATTTTCCTGAGCACAGCTGTACATACATACGTAATACCATTGATTTGTTTTGAGGTAATGAATTTTTGTATTGATAATACTATACGTATTTAAAAGTCTATAAGTTATTTTTTTTTGTAATTAATGCGCTGTAATTTGGTTGTTATATTGTTAATAATAAAAAATACGCTTAAAATTGAGCTGATTTTTATGGCTCTGTACTGATTTTTGATCCCAACTGTACTGAGTATGTCCCTATAATAATGATATTAGTCTTAAGCAGACAAATATGAAATTTTTTTCAAATGTAAAAATAAGCAAGGATGACGCCCATGATTCCAGCCATTTAAACTAAAACTCGTGCACATCTGGAGCAGCACGCAAAAGGCGATGGCAAATTGATCTCGTGAACACGGAAATCCATTCAACCTGTGGAGTAGATGGTTTGAGAACAACCGATATTTTAATTTGTTTTGTTGATTAATTGCCTGTGGCGAAGACTTTTGTCCAGGTGAATAACCACCTATTCTAATTTAATAAATTTTTTTTATAAACACTGAAGCCCTGTTTATCGATCACTTAATAGATCTATGTAATACTCTTGGTTTGGTTACGCCGTTATTGCTAATAAAACTAGACCAGTCATTTACTGCATGGGTACTTAAATTCCGTAGTTTTTGTACATTTCGTGCTTGCGCTCTCTTTGACAATACTTTCCTTTTCGTCTGTGACTTTTTTTTAACACATTTGCTGTCACAAAAAAAAGTTTTCAATGTACATACATCCTTATACATACATACATATGTGCAAAGACTTCCGCACGTCTCCTTAGTCAGTTCTCAATATTATATTTTCGCTTTTATTTCTACTTTACTGCCTTACTGTTCATATGTACATATGTACGTATATGTAAGTGGCCATTTTGATTGCATTGTGTGAGTTTGTCTGAATCAAAACGTCCTGCAGTCAACAGAACTCATCATCAACGTCATTCACCAACTTTTCAGGTATGACAACTTTAGTGTTCTGCTATTTTGTTTATTGCTGTTGTGCAGCTGATGTGGTTTCCTTTGACAGTCTCGAATGCATTGTCGCTATAAAACAATATATACATATTTGTTATTTACGCTTTGATATACTATCTGATATGCGCTGCTGCAGCTTCAAGTATACATATATATATTGTTGATAATATTGGTCGCGTTGCTGTTAGCATTGTGTCCGATGCCATGTTTATCTTTACTTTCACTTGTTTGTTGTCAGCACTTTTGCAATTCCAGGAAATGCAGTACGCCTGCCAAAGTTAGAGTTCCTCAAAAAATATCTGCATTTCATTCTTCAGTTCGCACAAGGAAGTAACTTGAGCCTAATTAGTACATACATACATAGGTATTTCTTTTGTGAAATGCCTTATTTGGGAAAAAAATCTTATTGAACAAGTTGGCGCTGCTTCGCGGAAGCATCCAGAGTTTACAAGATTCTACCCAATGATGATTATTCGACACATGTTACAAGACTAATTGGTCTTTACAAGGGAGGGCCCCTAAACTTCACAGCTATACCTTTTGAGGAGGGTCTCTCAGAATATCGTACAGTTTGCCTTAGCAAATCTAAAGTAATGTTCCACACGATTAGGTATGGCAGCAATTAATCAATCAAGGTAGGCCTTGTTTCCAAATCGGCAGTCACGCATTTTAACGCGATGCCACTGTAGCTTTGTATAGAAGATATCTGTGCATACATAAATGTAATTTGAAAATATTACTACACAATTGAGAGGAAGTTCAGGTGCGCCCTGGCCAATTTTCAGCGCACCATCAGTGAGTTCTTCGGCCAATTGCCGCTTGGATGCGAGAGCATGTGCCACGTTGTCAGCAAAGACAACCACCCGAAAGCTCTACTTCTACAACTGCTTTAACAGCTCGCTGACGCTCATGAGCCACCAGAGAGGGACCCAACTTGTAAGGGTACTTCTGTGCTCAACGCAGGAAACAGGCATACCTTGAAGTCTCTACGAATGCAGGCTTTCTATGTTCACTTCACAATTGTAAGCAAATCGATATCCACAAGCCTTTTTTTTTCTATAATAATGCTAAGCTATTTAAATATAGACGATGTCCAGGAATCCACCGGCTTCGTAGAACATAAATCTCATTTCGACTTTCCAGCCTCGAAGCTCTGGGACCTTTGCAACTGTGCAGGTCCAAGATGACGATTAACCAACAAGTCTGAGATAACAGTGCAATCCTGGTGTCTTGTCCCGAGGAGGCTTTTGGAGCAGTGGGATGCTGAAAATCGCTACCGCTAATTTTGATCGACGGAAATCTCAAAAAGAATAGCAGGAGCGCCTCCTGGCATGCCAATGTGACTAATTAAACTTACATCTATATTTTTTCTTGCTGTACACCTTAAGGCCATCCTGCTTTTCTTTTAGAGAACTTCGATGAAGAAAATTTAGCGTAGCGATTATCAGCATTCCGCTGCAGGGCATGGATTACAAAGAAAATCTGCAACACGGAGAAGCTTTAGCGACTCTTCATTGCTCATAGTCCGGTTTATTGCCTCGCCTCTCAGATACACCTAGAGAGCGGGCTCGCTGTGATACGTCTAACTCTGCTTAATTCGGGACACTCTTCAACGCTTTCGCAAAATGTTATAAAGGCTCCGATTAAAATAACATCAATAAATCTGTTCATATGAAATTATACTATTCTTGGCGAATAAATATGGAAATACACTTATGAAGAGCGTATGTGCGATATAAGTATGTGTCCCACAAAATATCTGTCGTTACACAACCCTTTATTATATGAATTTTCGCCAACGCTGAATTCCACATCGATGAAAGCAACGAAATACCGAATTATCCTCGCTTCTAGGAGAGCAGTAGGGATTTTAGTTTTTGACTTAAAGCCCATTGACAACACTATATGTCATTCACACAGACGATTAAGGTTAGAGCGCATTCGCGCGCGAACCTACATACATACATATGTACTTATGTATACAAAATATTAGAGCACTAGTTCAATAACTCAGGCCATCTTGCAGTGATGACAAGCTACCAGCACGCACACTTCACTAACTCCACATCGATACTTTGTGCGCACGAATACTTTTCCTTACATCGCCATTTTTCAATTCCACACATTCGAGCTCTTATACGAATATGTAGTTAACCGTTCGAAGTTTACTTCCAATTTGCAAAAAACTGTCAAGTTTTCTACTATTTCTGTCGTTGCTTACAAGGGCCACGCCTGCATCTACACGACAAAATAGCGGGAGGAGGAGGTGAGCGAGATGAAAGTCTTCGACTGACTAGCTGCATGGCTGCTGATAGCAAGCTAGCGATAGTCGGAATATATATGTGTGTTAGTCTGATTGTCAACTTAGACGTATCTATGTACATTTATATGTGTTTGTATGTTTGTCAGGGATTTTGTGTGTTGTGTGCGTTCAAAGTCAGATTGTAGTTTGTTACACTTGGCGACGCACTTACTTCCTTCTCATTTGCCACACATTCGATTTTTCAATTCAACGACAAAACTGATTGTCTGTTGAGAG